AAATATAATATAAATTTTATAATATATATTTTAATATATGTAATCTGTATAAATAATTTAAACTAATTTTATTTTATTATATATAAATAACTTTAATTGAATATATAGTTTAAAATATATGGTTTATTGTAATATATAGTAAAAATAATATAAAATATAATATAAATAAATAAAATAAACTACAATATAAAAATAAAATATATATAATCTAAAATTCTTTGATCCATACTTCCCCATTCTCATGGCAAATCCTATTTGGTCTGGCCAAATAAGATACGACTACATTGTTCCAAGTTGTGTTTTTAACTATCCGTAAACTCTTTTCACGCTTCCATCTAAACCCACAACTCTCATCACTTTCTCTTACTATTCGTACAGGCACTAGAGTAAAGTTAGCACCTCTTCGAATTGCTTCTCGATAACAGAAAAGGCGTCTATTATCAGCTGAAATATATTGATCATTTTTGTTAAGACAAACCCTAATAGTTGGTAGGTCTTTAACTTTTAATGACCCAGAAATTAAATCATTAATCGTATCCTCTACTGTGAATCCATCATCTCCAGAGAAATACGAATTAATTTGTGCTTGTGTAAAGAGAATTTGAAATGGGTCCAACATGTAGTTGTAATCTTCTTTACTTAACTCTAGCCTTATTAAAATAGGTTTTAACTCAACAACTATAACAACAAAGAAGAAAAATAAACGAATAAGCAAAGAAGGTATAATTAAAATTATAAAAAATAAAAATAGTTGATAAAAAAATTTATCACTAATTAAATTTTTAAAATTATTAGAATTATCTGAATGATTTTCTTGTTCGATTGCTAAACTGGAATTAAACTCATAAGTTTCTTCTTGTTTGGTGGTTGAACTAGATAACCATTCTTGAGAAGCAGGCTCCTGGTTACATTCATATCCACAATCAATATCTGAAATTTGTTGAACTTCAGGCAATGCATTAATATTAAAATATTCTATTTCTTTAATATAATCATCTTGTTCAAAAATATTGTTTTCTTGCTGTTTAACAACAGCTTTTTTGTTAAATTTGTTAATAAATTTCTTGAAAAAGGCCATTTTGGTTTAATAAAGTTTTGTAAAATTTGGTTTAAAATTGGTTTGAAATTGGTTAAAAGTTTATAAAAAACTTGAGCAGTCATAAAGCAAGAATTGGCTGCTTTTAAGCATCTATCATGTGAAAAGTTTACCAAACAATAATACTAAATTAAGAATTGATATAACTGGCAAATTCTAATTGGTACTTTGAGCTTGATAGTTATTGATTTAAATAAACTAATTCATTTTTAAATTATTTGTGCTTGTTCACTATAAAGAAAATTCTGCCTAATTTGGCATTTTGTTTAATCTTTCGATAACTTGTTGATAAAC